GCCCCCTCGTCGCCTCCCTCTGCCACCCACCACTCCGCCTCGCAGCCCCCACTGCCCTCACCGCCACTCGCCGTCCCCGCCCGCCATCCGTTCTTTAACACTTATTCCCCGTCGCCCACACCGCCCTCACCGCCACCAACCCCCAACCTCTGCCTACCACTTCATTTTTCCTTCTTCTTCCTGATTTCCTACCATTTGTTTCGCGGATTTGTTGATCCTCCCAATTCGGCCACCGACATCATGAGAGTTCTCCTTACACACGTCACCACGTGGATGAAGTAGGCTTCAACGGCCACAGTCCTGCAAATCCTGACGTCGTGTCAAAGACTGTGGTGCCACCATAGTTTTGTCGTGGTCTTCCTCAGGGCAAACCAGCCCGTAGGAAGAACACAACAAGATGGTCGGTACCACAGCGTCATCCGGACAGCGAAGATCATTTGCGTCACCACAAGGGCTTCGCCCGTTGAACCTTCCTCGCGCCGCTTGTCGCTTCCTTCTCTCTCCTTCTCTCTCATCTTCTCTCGCTCCCTCGAGCGCACGAGAACACCTGGCTTCCGCATCGCGGAGCCCGCTAACAAAATTTCGCTCGCACACGTGCACGCCGCCCGATGGCGGGGCCAGACGGCCGGGCTGCGGGCAGGGGAGCTGACGGTGACTTACGTACTGCAGGCGGTACAGGAGGAAGAGGATGTAAAGGTGGGGAAGCAGGTCGTGGACGGAGAGGAGGAGGGCGAGAAGAAAGAGGTGAAGGCGTTTGATGACAAAGAGGAAGAGGTTGCGGAAAAGGCGTGGAGGAAGTGATGGTGAAGGAGAAGTACGATTGATTGATTGGTGATTCCGGACGCCTCAACTACTTCGATCATAAGTTCCGTGAGTGTAGTGCATGTTTTTATCGCGGGATGTGACGGTGATTTTCTCCAACTGGATGGTGAGAACCTGTGCCGATGGATTGATTAGTGATTCCGATAGCGTCAAATGCGAAAGTTATTAGTCCCGTACAGTGCATTTTTTATCGAGCGAGATCAGACGCCAACCTACCGTCGGCTTGCGCGGTTTCTGCAGCCAGGTATCTCCCACGAGCGAGGCACCTCCCCGGCAAGGACAAGGTCTAATCTCCCGACTGGTCTCCCGACAAGTGTGGTAGTGTAGTGCACGTGAGAGAAGGACGAGTTAGGGGTAGAAGCAAAGGTGGTGAAGGAGGAGATGGATGCGGTATACGCATTGGCGGTGAACGCGGAACGGATGGGAAAGGAGGCAGATGAAGAGGGAGGAGTGGGATGGGAGGCGTTGTAATCTGAGGAGGTCGCGCAGGTACACGGCGAGGGAGACGGGGGAATGGGAGAGGGGAATGGAGGGGTGGTGACGGAAAGAGAGCTGACTGAGAAGAAATCGACTGTGGGAATGAACGCAGTTGTGACGGTTGTGTGTGGATGATATGGTGGAGATAAGGTGGAAAGTGGAAGTCGCTGTTGGTGCAGGCGGTGGAAAAGGTATAGATAGGTGAGGTGGGATGCAGTGCTTCTAACCAGGAGGTCCTGGGGCTCGAGTTCCAAAGTTGGCAGGATTTTCCACATTAGCTTCATAGCTAAGTCGAGTTCTCTCGCTGTCTCGAGAATTCCAGTGGCCGTTCCGTGGTTTCTCCGATCAACACCAGGCGAATGCCAGAGCAGTACCCTAACAAACGGGCCATGGATCACGTGAGATCTTTCCTACCCCCCTTTCTTACCATATCCCCCCCTTACTTACACACTTATACTAATATGAACTACACTACCACACATCCTGGGAGACCGATCGGGAGGTAAGCGCTCGTCCCGTCAGGAACATGACCCCGATGAGGGGAGATACTTGGTTGGGGAAAACCGCGCAAGCCGACTTGTAGGTCGAAGCCGAATCTCGCCATGCAGCGGGGGAAGAACACCGCCACCTCCCGCGATAAAAACATGTACTACCCGTACGGACTAATGACCTTAGTAGTTGATGCGCCACGAATCAACCAACTGAGGCCGGAGCGAAGGTGAAGGCGAAGAGTGTGGAGACGGGGGCTATGGAGATGGAGGTGGCGAAGGAGATGGAGGCGGCGAAGGAGATGGAGGCGGCGAAGGAGATGGAGGTGGCGAAGGAGACGGAGGTGACGAAGGAGACAGAGGCGGCGAAGGAGATGTGGATGGTAAAGAAGACGGAGGCGGCGAAGGAGACGGAGGAGGCAGAGGCACAGTGGCCAAGGCGCGAGTGGTGGCGGGAACGGAGGCGGTGGCGGGCTCGTCGATCGAGCCGTGTCAGCCGACCGCGAGCACGGCAAATTGATGTAATGTCTCCCCCTCCCCATCTCCTCACCCTCCTCTCCGCATACACTCGCGCTCGACGACTACCTCCAATTCCCCCTCCCCACCCTCCACCCACAAAAAAGCGCAACCCGCCCGGCTGTCGACCGGGGCCCGATCAGTTTGGTTTCGGGTTTCCAGACCCTCCTCGGCCGCCCCCCTCCCGCCCCGCGAGCAGGCGAGGAGCGGAAAGTGAGCCGAACGAGGCACCGCCGAGTGCGAGTCAACTGCTGCTTCGGATTTGCTCCTCGGCTGCGCTTCATTTTTTGGGGCCGTTGGGCGGGCGTTGTGTAAGGGGCGCGTTCGGAAAGAATATCTGAAAGTGATACTGCCTGGTGTGTCAAAGAACGTCCTTGAGTCATTTTATTCCCATTACTTTAATTATAAGAATCGCCGAATTTTGTCATAAACGGTATTTCTCGACTTCACAAAATCTAGATAATAAAATAACTTATAGTAAAATTAAAACTTCGTTAAGGGTTACAATCACGTCAGTAATTGAAATTCGAGTTCACATTGTTTCGTGGAAAAGAGTAATTCCCGGCTACAGCTATGCGGATGTACTTAATGAATACTATTCTACTCAGACGGAAGTAAAACGCATTTATGTGTTGAGCACATCTTCGAGAAAGAATACCTCGTAGAAATGATCTATCTGCATTCAGAAGTTTGACATTTTTAGTTTTATCACATTTTATTTTCAAAATTCAAAATTACTGCCTGAAAATTTCTAGATTCTTTATATATTTTCTTGTATAAATCACCATAATTTATTCTGAATTTCTAAAATAAAGTACTTAGCAAACGAATTGCTGGAGATTTTTCTGCTTAAGTACTGTCAATTTTAATGATTTTTTTGCAATAATTTAAAATTTAAATATAGTTTTACGAAGTCTATGTGTTTCACATTATGATATACTAATTTTATTTCTTAATTCATAAAATATTACGTTCTTCACTTAACAAAAAATATATGTAGTATATTGATTGTATCAAGTACTCTTGCAGGAACTTCTTTATCCTTCATCTTTGTGAAGAACTTCTTCGTGAACAATCAGAAAAATTGTCGATTAAACAAATGAAATCATAAAGTCACACTCAGTGCACACGCAATACCGGATCTGTTTCATAAGCGACTGTAACCTCATTTATCCGTATCACATGAAAAATCAAACTGTTTTATGTCGCTGCGTTATATTACGTTTGAAAGGATTTCGAGCGTTATGGAACGGCCTAACCAAACACGCGGTTAGCTATTGCCGTTTTATGATATTACCGCAAAACGGAAACTAAAAATATGGTTGCGGGGGGGACAGTTTCAGTATCATGTATCATTGAACATGTAAAATGAGATGCCTTTTCATTAACTAATTGTTTGTTTTTTGACAAGTTTTCATTTCGCTTTGATAACCCATTATTGTCAAATGCCTTTTATATTACACTTCAATATTATCATATTTTCCACTCGCTCATTTCATATTATAACACGTTTCAGAAACTCATTACATAATTGTTTTGCAATTTAATTAATCGAAAACTCACGGCCTGACAGTTACCTACGTATATGGAACTTTGTATGGATAAATCTAACATTAGCAGCTTTTCACTTTATTCAAGTTTTGTAATGTAATGTAACGCTCCTGAAAGTGCATGTTCTACCTTTGATTTCTTTTGACGCGTATTGCAGTGCCTCGGAGAGAACAAATCTGAAATATAAATTAAACTATTCAACAAAGTACGTAGCCACAGTAAAAATATACATTCGCTTTGTTATTTGTAACTGTTTCTGATATAGAAACACCTTCTCACGAGGAAGGAAATAATATGAAGTAAACTGAAATAATGGCATTTTCAACAAACGCATTTCCTTCATTCACTGCTATACCATAGGAGAGCCCACTGCGTTGTTAACTCTGCGTTAGGCCCTTAGCAGCAATGATGCTGCCTGTTTAGTTTTGATGTTACAGTAAGTGTTTCATTGTAGCAGGGTTACTCTAATTCGAGATATTTACAGGGTATAACTACTGTTTTGGTTAGCAGACTTAATCTTCCATTGGAGCATTCTATCAGTGCGCAGTCGTAAAAGGACGTTTGTTAAGAGATCAACGTTTCAAGGTCCTTCTCCACACGCCCTCTCATGAAAGGGTTTGTTAGTGGACAAATGATTGCAAATTTTTACATATACTTCACATATTCAGCAATTTATAACATTTTATTAATGTACAATATAATATACGATTTATTACATATTGCCCATATTACTTTGACACCCCTCATCAATGTCCTAGAGAAAGTTATTTACTACATGATATATATATATATATATATATATATATATATATATATATATATATATATATATATATATACACATTATCAACTTTGTCAGTACCAGACCCACATTGACAGTTTTTCAACCAAAAAGTCGTTTTTTCGTTACAGCATGACAATACGTTCTCTTCACTACATACGTAGTATAAGTGACCGTAAAATATTCGGCAGTGAGTAAATTTCACTCCTCTGTAGCATTCTAGGGCTAATGGTCTGACTGTGTTGTGCGCAGTGCTGTCGGAGCATTCGACCAACACCCCGAGCGGGCCCAACGACTACGGCTCCATGTTCAGCAAGTCGTCGCCGGGCGGCGGCGGGGGCGGGCCGGCCGACCTGGACGGCATGCTGGGCGGCGGCCACCCGCACCACGCCCCCCACCACGCCGCCCACCACCACCGCTACCCGGCGGACCCCGTGCCCACCTACTCCACCACCGGTGAGTGTCACCGCTCGGTAGCACGCTGTACGTCATACCAAGGCACGTACAGTTTGCGCGCTCTTTGGCATACTATGCACAGTACCAAGATACGTAGGGTCCGCGCGCTCTTTGGCGTACTATACTCCTTACCAAGATACGAACGGTTCGCGCGCACTTTGTGTTCTATACACGATACCAAGATACGTAAAGTTTATCCGCAGAATCTCTGCACTCGGTGATTATAAACATCTTCAAAACATTTTATTAGGCAGCTTCGGCCAAAAAATCGTTTACGTTTCTTAGGAGAAAGAGGACAAGAAACTCAATAATAGTTATTTATGATACGAGTTGAAAAGTGATATTTTTTTTAATTTTGAAAGTAGAAAATGTTGCGATGTAATGCCGATTTGTCGGGTGCAATCGTACGAGCAATATAAAATCACTTTTACTATGTGCGTCATACACTATTATTTAGACAGCCTTGGTGACATTTAATTTAATTTTATTCAAGGGTACAACTCACTGAGGGTCAGTAATAGGTGATGCGGTCACACGAAAGTTTTTTTTTCTTCGTTGCATTCACAAATTTATCTGATCACCTAGCCTCGTCTCACTTTCAGCACTAGTGTTAAAAGTTGACATTTTAGCAGGCTACCCATGGTCTGAAAGAACCTCGTTTACTAGTGGCTGTGTAAAAACCAAATTAGCTATTACTACTCTTATCTTTAATTGAGCTACAAATTGTAATACCAATAAAACAAATTATAACACATTCCTAGTTGTGAGTCTAGCAATCTTACAACAATCACTAGCTCACGCTGGGATAGGGATTGTAATTGATGTTTTCGTAACAGCGATAGTACTCGTAGATGGCTGAACAACACATGCGCAGTATGTTCTCGTTATCCTGCTGATATTTAAAACGGGCTCCAAGTGCGTAGATATCTTGTGCAAAGTCTACATACATCGAGAATTTCCTATTAAGAAGGGAGTTTTAGCATATTTGTAACGACTGGGCCTTACACACTAAAAATCATGTGATTTTCGACGTAATGATATTTTATTCTTGGATATCAAAAAGAGTTCAAACGCGCTGACCCAAAAATCTGTACAGTACGTCAATGAGATAATAAATAAACATAAAAATAATATGAAACATTAACATCACTGAACAAAATGGCTTAAAACAACACGTATGATTCTTTCAATTCCTTCGGATGTGAATTTAATTCCTCTATATTAATATCAGGAACTACAAGAATTTGGTTAACATTCAGATACATGGACCCGGGAAACAACATACATGAATGCAGATGCAAGGCCTGTGAAGCCCTGCACAACACTGTTTTTATTCTTTATAATTTTATTTCTTAATCATTTCAATAAAATCCAATTTTTAATGTCAAAAAAATTATTTTTTTTTAAATAACTATGTTACCCCGATCCCCAACAATCTCAAAGTAACTCGTTAAGAGCAGACTAACCCCAGGATCAGAATGCGTGTTCGCAGCGCCCGGCCTGGGCTGCGGCGGCACCACGTACCACGCGGGCGCCTGGAGCGCGCCGCCAGCGCCGCCAGCCCCCGCCCGCGGCTTTCCACACGCACCAGCACAACTAAAAACTACTAACGCGCTTCGCCCGGGCGGCGGGGGCGGCGGCGGCGGCGCGGCGGCGGAAGGCGGGCGGGTCGGCGCGGCGGCGGCGCGGGCGGCGTGCCGCCCACCGGCGGAGCCAGCCCCGGCGGCGGCACCTACATCAACCCGCCGGTGGTGCTGTACCCGCACCTCTACTCCACCGTCAACCAGAACCAAATCCACCTGCACCTGCACACGGGCGGCGCCGAGCAGACCAAGGTCGGTGCACTTCACAGCCTCCACCCTCCGAGGGAGGGACTGAGAGAATTAATCACTGAATAAGTGAGTGAGTGAGTGAGTGAGTGAGTGAATGAGTGAGTGATGAGTGAGTGAATGAATGAATGAGTGAGTGAGTGAATGAGTGAGTGAGGAGTGAGGGAGTAAGTGAATGAATGGACGAATGAATGAATGAGCAAATGCGTTAATGAGCGAATGAATGAGTGAAGGAATGAAAAAGTGAATGCGTGAGCGAATGTATGAATGAGCGAACGAACGAATGAATGAGCGAACGAATGAATGAATGAATGAATGAGCGAACGAATGAAGGAGAGACGAATGAATTAATGAGTGAATGAATGAGTTGAGCGAGTTGACTTAGGTGTGTTGAGTTGATTGCGAGAATAGATTCGTGTATTGTCAACTACTCAGGTCATTAATCCTGTCAGTGTAGTGCATGAAATATCTCGAGACGTGGTGGAGTTCTTTCCCCGGTGGACTCCCATATTCGACCCCGAGATTCACGGCATGGCTTGAGGAGTTTTACCCCAGGTATCTCCCGCAGCGGGCAACCGCTTTAAGCTCCTAAGTGGTCACCGATCATTGGTGAGTTGTAGCGGAAGTTGTGTGTGTGTGTGTGTGTGTGTGTGTGTGTGTGTGTTTGCGCGCGCGCGTGTGTGCGTAAAGGGAAAGGAAGGAACGTGGATGCGGGAGGAAAGATTGGGTGTGGATTAGAACTAGTAGATGACTGCTCTGATTGGTCGTTTTCCGTGAGAGAAATGTTGCGTGCTTACAGCTAGTCCTCTGTGGGGGAGATACCTGGAGAGTGAAATCTCCCCAAGCCGACATGAATATTGGTACTATATTTCACGTTCTAGTGGGGAGACACAACGCCATCTCCTGAGTTATATCATACCCTTTACGCATGAGTCTAGAACCCATAGCAGATAACACACCCGGAAACACAAAATTTACGTGATATCCTGAACCACGGCGAGTATACTGTAAGTTTTAGCTACTCGATAAGATAGAAGCCCTTTTGTTCATATTATTACTTACAATTTAAGTATATGCTACCAAAACAAGCATTTGGATAGGACGTCACCACCATAAGCAAAAAACCGATCGAGTCGCTAAATGTGCAATTGGAACATCAGCATGTACAATTCGGTAGTTTTTGCAGCGTGCAATCTGCTTTCGCCGTTAGTGAGTTTGAGGTTCGATAGTAAAGGAAATGGAATTTGCAAAATATAGCAGCACTGAGTAAGCTTTCTTAAAATGAGTCTGTGGCGACTCGGAGCAAAAAATACAATTTTACCTAATTGTTGCACGGCGATCTCTTTCATTTTTGTCGATTTCTCTGTTACCTTTATAAATGTACTACAATTAGCTGTAGGCTACGTTTGAAAAACATTTTTGACAAACAATTGAACTACGAGATAAAGATACACAAACGTAAATGTATTGATATATTGCATAAAGATAAATATAGAATCATGTAACTGAAACGCAATATTGTTAACCCTTCACAAAATGCAAAGACTTTTGGGAATACAGTGGACTTAATATTCGGTTAACACGCTGCTGGATTTTCAGAACACGATGCACCTAAACGACTGTAGCAAAGCTCAGATGAACCAAATTAAATTCCTAAGTGGTACATGACAACAATCATAAATAGCTCAAACTTTCGCTTGGTGGGCCCCTTTGGGATCTACCTAAAATCGTATCTCAGTCCGCACGATCGTATCTCAGTCCGCGGATTGCAGCCCAAGTATCAAAACCTATTACTGACAATGAAGAAATTTTTTAAAATGAAAACAAATTAAAATTTAATAGTAAAGAAATAACGTTATATTCTACTGTTCATTTCAATGAATTGTTAATATAGGAGTTCGATTTCTTCCAATCATTTTGGACGGTTTACCTCTAATTACTAAATTTAATAAATACTAATATAAGTAAAGTATAGTATTTAATAAAAACACTTCTTTTTATCAAAGTCCTGTTTCCATTCCAGATTTCCTCTGACGGGCTTCAGCACCACTACTCCGGAGTGCCCCAACCGCCACCAACCGGGCACGAAGACCCGTCATCCACCACGGGGGCACCCATGCACCAGGAGCACCAACCGGAGCACCAGCCCCCGCCTGCACCACCGCCGCCGGTGTCGTCCAATGACGTGGCCATCAGTCGCTACCAGGACCGGCAAGCGGACCCCAACGTTTGGCGGCCGTACTGAGCCAACGCCTGCTCTCTACCAACTCATAACCCGAACTATTCCACAGCCGCCAGCCATGCAGCGGCCTGGACTGTTTCTTCTAGTACAAATTGTGTACGCCACGTGACTCGCTTTGAGTCGGATAGTATTAAGAACTCGTAAGATCTCACACAAGTACTTCGGTCATCACACAACGGGCTGGTCTCGTCTCAAATGGACTGTTAAAAAGTGCGATGTGATGTTTATAAATTATAATTAAAGAGGCAAACATCTCTTACTCAGGAGTGTGGAGGAGACGACACAAAAGCGTAGAAGATCCACCACACGAAAAATATGCTTACTTGTTTCTCGTATACTGTAATATAGTAGTGTTGTGAATGATAGCACTGAAAAAAAAAGACTAGAGGAAGTGGACTTTCGTGACGCCTCAAGTCCTCCGACGTGCAAAGTGAATGCAAAAAAGGAAACCTTTGCGAGTGAGATATATAGTGTTCTTCTATAAGGTTGTGCCGATCGTGGTGAGAGAACGCTGGAGCAAAAATTGCGTGTTTCTTGCGGTACAATGTGGCTGTTTTTTTGGCTTGTGGAGTATAACTACGCAAGTTTGGGCAGTGCCCGATTCGATAGCGAGCCCAATTACGTTTTTGGGCCGTGAGATCGCCTCTGGTTGTACGTGCACAGCGGCCGAGAAGTCACGTGGTTTCGTCTCGGGGAAGGGGAGAAATTGAGAAGCTAACCCAACCAATTTCATTATTCGTACATGGCTGGGAATCGTATGGCATAACGCGAACATGACAGTATTCTCTTTTTTTTCTTTACACTAAATTTTTGTTGCGCTTAAAAAGTTTCAGACTTTTAACGCTTTACATAAACCAAAAGCATGTAACTGGAGTAGTTACTGGACACATTTTTAAGTTCTGAAGTAGTACATTAAATAATATACGAACAAAATTATCTCATCATATTCACCCCGATAAATTTCACTAGTGTAGGATACGCATCAATATCAGAAGGTCATTGGACCTCAAAAAAAGCTTGGTAGCATGTTCGTATGCGTTTGAGCATTATCTTCATGCAATATTCCGACAGAGCATCTGCCAATCAATCATCATAAAATCTCAAAATAATATCTCTTACCAGTGAATGGCGAACACTCACGCCCGAGACAGTTCGCTGCAATTGAAACTGCACGCCTTTGCGTCACATCACGTACGTAACAAACAGCCTCCTTGCTCTGTCAGATTTCATCAGCAGCATTTCACCAGCCTTCATTTTTTTTTCTTCATTTTACGCACTGAGCTTTCCGTTACTCGTAAATCTCTCTCTTCCCTCCCGGCTCCCGCAGAAGACGGAGTTTGCGGTCGCGCCGGGGCGCGCGAACCGCCATCTCTGTTGCCGAATGACCCATAAAATCAGCCACCGCGTCTTGGCGATATACGCGAACAGCCTTATGGGGGGAGAGGTGTGCTTCCCCCCCGAGACGCGGTCACGTGACTTCACGGCTCCGCTCGTTTGCGGCGCGCGCAATAACGCCGCTCGTTCGTCAACTGTCAGGGGACGACAGGCGGATTTTTCCGACGGTCCCGACAGTACGGCCAGCGCAATTCGCAGCGTCTGTTTGCTAGAGTATTTTTAAAACAATAAAGCAATTTCTTTCACTGTGTACCTCGTGTGTTCTTTTCATAAGTTTCCAATTTGTTCCTCTTCGCACAATATTTTTCCATCCAAATTACTTCCTCCTTTCCTGTGTTTATTACAAACAAATTTCAGTAATGGAGTTGCTCATGCAAGCTTTGTACAACCTGAAGATGTAAAATATAATTCATGTGTATTAAAATAGAATAATAAGTAGTCTTGCGAATAGTGACTTAAAGTCCACAAACGCTGTAAGTTAAATGAAGTTCGAAGATTTTTTTAAATGTCTGCAAAATCACATAGTGGCCTTCACTCAAACTTAATAAGAAAATGTCGAACTAGGAACGGAAGGGTATTATGAGCTTACATTTGCTATGTTAAATTTATTGTTATCCTAGAAACCATAGAATTCTTAGTTGTATTTAATTTTCAAACTACCGAAATTTAAAAGTGTTGAACCAGAGAGTTTCGAACCAGATAAAATTCATTTCATAAACAAAATGTGTACATATTCTTCATTTGGTAAATTGATTATCTGAAGGTAAAAACTATAATAATTTTTTACGCAAAATCATCCTTGAGTCTAAAAAATGTTTCTGAAGAATTAAGAGTCACCAGACTGGAAAATTAGAAAACAAGATATTTTAGGAAGATATATTCCAATTCTAAAAATATGGGTTTTGTCCAAGAAGAAAGTCAAGAAACCAAATACATTTACTATGATTAATTTAATAGAATTTTCAAGTCATTTTCGAGAACGACTATATAATTATAGAGCCGTCCCGTTACCACAATTTCAAACTAAATAAATCGGTATTGGTTGAAAACTCTAATCGGAAATGAGATAATTTTCAAATGTGAGGAATCTCCATGAATTAATTTTTTTCAGGAAGGGACAATATTCAAATTTTGCCTTATAGTTCAATATGGAATTAAATAATTTTCTAATCCCGTTTAGCACAGGAGAAACGGCATTTTTTTAAAACATTTGGCAGTATCTTGAAGAATCGTCATAGGAATATATGGATACGTAAAACTTAAAAAAAAAACAGAAATAGAGATACGCCTTTTTGGAAATAAGCTTTTTAAAACAGTCATATGAAAAACTGTACACAAGAGCCCTTTTCGCCATGTTATGTCACTCCGAAATTTGGACCAAGTTTGTTCAGTTTTTACGAGCGAGAAAGAAACCAGCTAACTTCAAGAACGTTTAATAATCCCGCTTTGGCGCAGTGTTTATGAAGTGTTGTTGCAAATTCAACGAAGGTAACTTCTAAGAATATGAAAAATACTTCACATTGTGATAGACGTCTCGAATTTCAATACACTAAGATAGTAATTTTTTATTTTCAGCACAAGTTTTTTAATTGGAAAATTATGCAGAGATGATTGAAACGAAAAAAAATCAAGAATAAATATTCCGAGTCAATAAATTTAAGAGAATTATTTTTTGTGTTTGTGACAATGATAGAAAAGACACAAGCACAAGGAGACAAGAGTAGTATGAACAAACAAAAGCAAATCAACGGGAATTATTGCATAAAAACTAAAATATCCCAATTGTAAAAAAACAAAATTCCTATTTTAGCAACCTTTTTACCACACGGTACACCAAATATTTTAAATATAGAGAGGTGGTAAAACTGAATACTGTAATAATACACATATTACTAATCGCAAGCCAGTGGCAGTACTCACATAATTAAGGCAACTTACAAGTTGCAGGCAACTTACAAGTTGCAGGCAACTTACAACATAGAATCTGAATGAAAAATAACTATAAAAAGGACCGGCAGCAATAGGCTGAGCGGACTTCAAGTATTGAAGAATTAGTAATATTATAACAAGAAATACCATTCCAATTCCTCAGTGTTATATAATGGAAGTTTTTGGCTAGGTACTCCTGTATCACTTTCAATTCATTCTGGGAAATAAGATAAAAGTTTCAATCCGTAGTTCCACGCCTCAGAGAAGCATTTCGAAGAGCGACATTTTTAATCCAGTATCTCAATATTGACACAAAATGTAATAATCAATATGGTGAGTACGTTAATAGTATTGCATTAACTTAATTTACAGGAAAATAGAACAGGGATATCTAAAGCCGTGCCCTTCAATTACATTCTCTCCGACATTTCATTTCACAGTCTCAGTGCCGATTTCAAGCTAGGCACAGATATAGCACAATCTGTATCACAACATCTGAATCACACTGAATGACGATAAGTTGAGTACTGTGATAATATACAACATATTATTACACAGTTGTGTTGCTACAGCCACGCCTTGCGTCGTTTAGGCCTTGACAGTTCGTGAAAAACACGTCTTTTCGTATAAATACATGAAACATTAATAGTTTAAGGTCATGTTAGTATATTACATACAAATTCATATTTTCAGTGTCAGAAGTAGAATTGATGGTAGATAATCTATAGTTTCGTAAAGAGCCTACTACCGCCTCTGGCACGAGCTCCTAACTGTACGTAAAAGTTGCAAACAACTTGGCGTGCACTTCGAAGCAAAGAGGGATCGTCTTAGGTGCTAACACTTTAGCAAAACGTTTCTTCTTTATATGAATGTATATGTACTATTGATAACACAAACATTTCCTTTTAATAAAAAACATTCAGCTTTTAAAACAAAAGTTATTTAATCTTTTCTTTTTAAACCTTCATTATAAATAGGCGGTTGGCTACATGTTTTATAGCCATCCTCAGACCTGCATTAGTAATTTGAGTTGGAATCCACAAATTATAACTTTAGTTCGTCACTCTCACATGGATGTGCTTTCGAGACAGTTTCAATATGAGCATCTCACATTATTCAAGTATTGTAGATATTGTATATAATTTATTTTATAGTTAAAATTAGTGTATTCCAACTCATAATACTAATGTAGGTTTGCAAATGACTATAAAACATTTAGCCGAAACATTGTCGACTGACTATAATGAAAATTTAAAAAGGAAAGAATAAATTACTTTTATATTAAAAGCTGAATGTCTTGAATTTAAAAGGAACTGTTTTGTGTTATCGAAACTTAAGTAACTGAAGGGAAGGGCCGATGAAGAGGACAAATTGCTGATGGCACGGGGTAGACGATCTATTCATTCCTCATCCCTCTGTAACAGCTAGTTATATTATTCACAATATTTTATTGGTTTATGTATGTTATTGAAGAAGGTACACTTAAAAATTAAATCAGAAAATCAATAGGGGTCGTAGGCACGTAAACATAGTTTTATGTAGAACGAGACACAGTAAAATCGGCGAAGTAAAACTTCCAACGAGGATCAGTGCCAGGTATTGGTTTGTTAATCATATCAAGATGAAACTTCTTTTTTTTGTTTAGGAGAGTAAACATAAACATTTTGACCCTTTTGCTATTCAATTTTATTCAAATATTTAGGATTTTCTTTATAATTTGTAGTGTTGCACAACGTACATCACCAATTATTTATTTATTAATCTGCTCCTGCCAAAATTGTTTCCAAATTTGTTAGTCAAAGCTTAAAATGGAAGTAGTTTCGGAACTGATTCGCCTAGAAGATGGATTTATTTACATTTCTCAGGAACTCTTATTTCCAGAAAGTGTACCACTGTGAGTGCTACACTTTGATGTTTACATGCATTTTCTGCATTTTGGCGAGTAGTTAATTGTATTTCTGGGATTTTTTGTATATTTCTGCTACGTTAAGGGTTGCTAAAGGAAAACTACATTCTGGGTAATAAATGTTCCTTGTTCTCTGAATATGTTTTATGCATTTTTTTTTTTTCAAGAAAATAGATTGAGAAATACATTTTTGGCACTATATCGGCTAATATTGTAAAAAATGAATACAAACTCCTTGTATTGTAGTATTTTAGTTTTGTTCTGATCATTTAGCAATTATAATGGGACGATGGCGATCATAATAAAGATCACATGACACGGTACTTCAACGGGCGCTTTTCAAAAGCCATGTGAGGACAACACCCAGTAAGTGTCTACTGTGTTAGTCAAGTCATTTCGGAGTGCCTATAAAAACCTTAAAAGAATATTTTGTAACTCTATATCAAATAATATAATGTTTGATTGTAAAAATGCGTTCTTTATTTTTATCCATTCCATTTTCGTCTGTCAGACAACGCCTTTAAAATAATAATTGGAACAAGTCACTTTTGTAATCTAGGATTAAAAGGCGTCGATGAAAGAGAAAGGTGTAGAATTTTTACATTAGAGGCTCCTCCAACTCCTTCACGCATTATTTTCCACGCAGGTTCCCTTAGACTCTCCTTTGGCTAGATGCGAGAGGAGTGGTGGAGTTGGTAATATCGACGACAGGACTATTATATAAAATCTGTTGCTCGTTTTTCGATGGAAAATAGTTTCTATTACACGAAAGAGAACATTTCTGATTATCAGATTTGGTTAACAACGCTTGTTGGCATCATTTATTTTTAGTTTAACCAATGTTAAATAAAGGAGGGGGGTAGGTGTTCCGGGGCTCAAGAAAACGTGCGTTCATATTACCTTGAAGGGCAGATGCCGGAGTCGCTAAGGGAGCAGTCAACGGTGATCAAAGGAACGCGGTTGGGGCTGAGGGTGCTGGCGGCGACAGTTTGGGCCGTCGCGTCGCGCCACCGCCCTCAGCGCCAACGACGACTTCAGCGATCTCTCCCGTCAGCTCCTCAAACTACGCACCCAACGACCCAGCGCATGCCGCCATCTTCGATCTCCCTGGCAACACCGTCCGGCGTTCCCTTGCCTATCCAAGGGAACACTTTTTCTTTCGAAGTTCTTGGTAGATTGATTTGTGATTCCCGGGGCGATATCTACTAAATTCATTATTCCCTTAAGCGTAGTGCTTGATTATATCGCGGGAGAGGCGGGAGTGATCTTCCTCCGATGGATAGCAAGATCCGGCTAGCAGGGTTTTCCCCAAACAAGTATCTTCCACTAAGGGGGCCCGTCCCAGCCGGAACAAACTCTAAGCTCCTGACCAGTCTTCCAGCATGGCTGGTAGAGTAGTGCTCGTAAATGTAAGGGG